GCGCTCCGTCACTGGTCCTGGGCGCGTCGTTCCCGTAGAAGTTGGCTCAGATTATCGGACCGCCGATTGGTCCCAAAAGTTGATGGGTTGGGACGAATTCCTGGTATCCCTCAACAGTCTTTCATCCGAAGGGCCCTTATATCTCGCCCAACATAATATGTTCATTCAATTCCCCCAGCTTCGAGAAGACCTTGTCGTCCCAGACTATGTATATACAGCTCCGTCTGCCCCACCGAACTATCCGACATATGTCCCTCCTGGCAACGCAGAACAATTGGTTCTAAACACTTGGTTTGGACCGAAAGGAACTGTTTCTCCCGCTCATACTGTACGCGGTTCTGAAATCTCCGGTATCTTGCGTGACTGATACGTGTAATAGGACCCATACTATAATATTTACGGTACCGCCACTTGCCATCTATCGATGCTGATCTAACCCGAGTCCTTTAGTTCAAGTTGTCGGAAGCAAGTCGGTATGGCTGGCACCTCCGGAGAGTTCTGAATACATGTATTCGTATCGGTCCCCGCTACAGCCGACTAATGAGGTGTCCGAGCACAAAGAACCGTCAATGAGCAACACGTCGCGCGTCGACGTGTTTTCAACGACCGTTGACACTCAGTATCTAGACTTTTGGGAAAATGTGGTGCACAGTGCGTCTTTTGCGACCCTTGAACCCGGAGATGTCCTGTTTTTCCCTCCTGGATGGTGGCATGCAATGCGTGCGAATGATACTAGTTTCTCGGTGTCCATGTGGTTTTGAATGTAGAGCTTTGTTCGGAATGTAGCATGATTGCAATGATCCGAAGACTGTTATTCAGGAATGAGTGTGCGAGAGTCTCTTTACCAAGTACCTATAGCGTCTAGCCGAAGTACGTTAGCTCTGTGCCTGAGCAGTAGAAACGGAGAAAAGGACACAGCCACAGTCCCACGAAGAGTAACACAAAGTTCAAGAACACTGTTGTTGACTTTGTGGACGCCGACGACGACGCTGGATGCCTTTCCAGCCGGCAGCCCATGACCGCCACGATCTGCTAGGAGCCTCGTCGGCGGCGACAATGACGCCGTCCAAGTCATCGTCTTCGCTCGATGTCGACCGGTCGGCGCTGTACTCCCCACAATGGTCGAAACGGGGCTCAGTCATACCGACACCGCTTACCCGCGCCCACGTCGAGGACGCTCTTGCGCAGTCGGAGGACCACGGCGTGACGCTCGTTTTCCTGAAAAAGAACATTACCGACATTGAGGCTTCTGCCGCAGAGGAGTTGGCAACCACTGGGGCCAAGTCGGGCGATGCTGGAGGCCGCGTCGAACGGTACGTGAAATGCAGGCAGTATCATTTCAAGTGGAACTGACTCCTGCTGCTAGGATTGCGCTGGGCAATAACCACTTGACAACGCTGCCAATGCAGTTCGCGATGCTGTCGCGTCTACGCTATCTAAATCTCAAGGGAAACTGCTTTACCGTATTTCCGGAAGTCGTACGTTGCGCAAATGTCTTTCAGCTCGTATCTGACATTCTTACAAGCTTACTCTAATGCCTTCCCTTGACACACTGGACTTGAGCCACAACAAGATTAAGCGACTCCCTCCTCGCCCAGGAGAACTGCTCAAGCTCAAGGTCGATATTCCACTTTCCACCCCCGTCATATCTAAATTGGTCTCCATAGGTGTTTTGTCTATCGCGCAACAAGATTACAAGGCTTCCAGAGTATATCTCAAAGTTCCAGAAGCTATCAGTGCTAGAACTGGAACGTAATCCCATTGAATGGCCGCCCAGTGCAGTAATGGACCGACCGTCCAGATTTCCAACTCCAGAAGCAATGAAGGACTGGGTTCATGCGTTGCAAAGGTGGATAGAGAAGGACACGTCCGATCACGAAGATGCTGTGTTTTCAGACGAGAACAAATTGCAAGTCATTTACTAATCTATCATACATCTCTAACTTGTTCACAGAGAAAGCAACTTTGCTGCTTGGTCGCGATTTCCTGTATCCGAATCTGAATTTGACGAAGGCGTCACTCCACACGCCCGATCATTCTCTATCGACTCAAATTTCTCCGTTTCATCCTCGATTGCAGAGTCGGATATCGAGACTCCCTCCTCGTCTTATGGTCAGCTGGACCGACCTCCGCCTTTGCATCTTGGTATTCTCCACTCCGAAAGCGCAGAGACTTCCCCCACTCGCTCCTTTGAAAGCTATCTGCCCAGCCCTGCTGACTCTGATTCTTTCTCTATCAATGACCCTACCGCCCATTCCAGTCCATCTGCCAAAGGAGACCGCTCGTCGAAAGAGCATGGACGAAACGCATCTTACGCCCCCAATGGAATCAAAGATACGCAAGAGGTAGACTTGCAAGCCAAGAAAAGTATGCCTGATTTGCGTACAGCCCGTTTCGCCTTTTCCTCAAGAAAAGCTCCCGACCTTCCTACATTACCGTCGCTAAAGTCCAAACCGGTCCCAGACGACTTTTCTATACCATCGCCACTCTCAACACGGCAGGATTCAGGCTCCTCGATGAGCTCGGGTTTCCGCTCTAACCGACCTTTTGGCAAGGAATCAACACATCCATCCCCTACTCGCCCGATTACGTCCTCGATGGCATTCGAGAGAAACTCTTATTTCCGACGTCTGTCTACACTCCCCATTTCCACCATGTCCGACGCTCTCCCTAGACCCCTCCTCTCCTTGATAGAGTGCGCGCGCAGTATATTATTTGCTGTGTGTCAGATCTATCAGACTTTGGAGCATTATACCATATATTCTATAGACGACCGTCTATCTTCTGTCCTCCGAAAACTGCTTGATCCTGCGAGCGTGGACATGATGCAACTCATACACTCCCTTGACCGTTTTGATGCAATCAGTCGAAAAACCTTGCCGCCTCCCTCTGTCTGTCGAGGTGTAGTGGAGAGCTGTAAAGATACCGTAGCCGTCTTTGGGAAAGCCGTGAGCGTTCTGTCCTTGCAGCTCAAGGTCATCGCGGGCAGTGATGACGTGCGGAACGTGCGCTCCATGATTCTGGTGCTGTATGGCGCGGCTGCAGAAATATCGTGGGCGTGGCAAGCTATGGTGCCTCATATTGAGGCGATCAAACCTCACTTGCGAGGGAAACCATACCCTATACCGTCGCCGAACAGTATCTCCATGATGGGATCTGATCCTTATTCACCTTCATCCGCATCACAATCCCCGGCTGAAATGTCACATTCGCTGGTCTCCCTGCGACCCAGTCCTCCTGGTGGCGCGATCGAACGAATACGAGTGGCGAGAAGGCATGCCGGGTCGTTCAGCTCCAAAGACGTCGAGATTGGCAAGACATTGCCTTCGTATGATGATGTACCATTACCGCCGATATCTCGAGGATTCTCTGGTAACACGTCGTCTACACTTCGTGCTCCCAAGAGACATGCTACGTTGGCTCCCATGGCTGTCACCGTTTCTTCCCCTTCCCCAACCAGCCTCCAGCATAGTTTTACAGGAGAGAGCTCCCGGACGGTGCATTCGCGTGCTGGATCGCAAGCTTCCTCACCAGGATCGAGTTCTTCGTCGCCAACGATGCCGTCGAGGACACCTGTTATGGACTTGCCGTCTAGTTCCAAAACTCAAGTTGACAAGGAGGCCATACAAGCTGTTCAAAACGCAATGGATGTTGCTCCGGTTGTTTGGGATATGATGGAGGATGTTCTGGGCGACGCTCTTGAAGCACAAAAGGATACCCGAGAATGCCTCGACCGGGCCAGGTCGGTAACGACAAGGTTAACTGATCTTGTCTGTGCGATGAAGGACGGAGATATGACGTCGGATAAGGGTGCATTGCGGGACGACGCCCATTTGTTTTTGAGGGTAAGTTTCCATGTGCATGTTCGAATTCTATCTAACGACATCTTAGACGGTTGTACAATTGTCCAACATCGTCAAGACCTACAACGGGACCCGGTCTAGCGTGTTGAGGAACAACATGTACAAGCTGACCAACGCCACGGAGGAGTTTGCCATACTGTTGCATGTTTCTTCGTTTGCGCCAGCGTCCACGTCGACGCCGCGGCCGTATTCTCCTATGCTTACTTCGGCCTCCCAGACGAGTTTAGTGGGGCTGCAAGATGACTACCGGTTGATGTCGAGTCTTTCACGGACGAGGAGTGCCCAGCCTACGGGAGCGTTTAAGCTTCCGTATACGGCTACGTCTCCAGAGCCTCCGCGGAGTGCGCAACCCACGCAGTCGTTCAAGGTTCCTGTTATTCGGCGACTCCGCGGACGAGATACGCGGGAGCGTATCGATATCAATGATCCCGGGTGATATACAGTAATATGATTTGGTTTGTAACGCTTTTGTCCTAGCATATCATTTCGCGATGTTTTCTGGTCTCACTCTTTCTTTTTCGATGTTTTTACTCTTTTGTTCTGTTATAATCCTCCTACATATCGCATGGCTATTTATCTAATCTTTTAAATATGAGTGGATGTACGCTTTGGTAGAGCGGAGTGTGTTGAAAATACGATTGTGCTGCCAAATTGCCTAAGGCCTTTTTGGGAGGGGCGGCTGGACTAGTGATGTAGAAGTGGCGCGCGATGCAATGCTCTGGAGACTTGAGCATTCCCGAAGGCGAGACTAGTCAAACGCTATGAAGCACGCCCACTGCGATACATTTATGTGTCTCGTTTAGTTGAAAACATATGGGCAGGAACGATGGAAGAACTTATGCACCATGGACTCGTGCTGCTATGAACGTATATTGACTCGCCACGTCAATATACTTTCGTCGCGTGTGAGTTTGCTCGACGCGTTCATGACTTGTCGTTGTGCACGTCGCGACTTTGAAAATAGTCTGCTCGATTAGCGCTTCAGGCCACTATTCCATACTGATTCTACCGTGCCATTTGCAGTGGAAGGCTTGGTGGAAGGCTTTAAGTGAGAGGATCATTGATCATCGATGATGATGTGACTCACGTCAGATAGCAATCTACCTATCGTGTAGCGCTGTTTCTCTCTTTTGCCAAGACCCCTTAGCTCAGCGGTAGAGTGTGTGATTCCAGTTCATATTGGCTACAGCGCGCTTCAAGGTGTGCCGTAGCCAATGTGGTACATCCACAAGGCCATCTGTTCGAATCAGGTAGGGGTCATTTTTGTTGAATTCGACTTGGAATCCTTGTTTTATGCTAGGATGCTTTAGTACAAACGCGTTCGCATTCTGACTCCTGAGGCTGTTTTTAACTTTCAGTAACCTTGCCTGTACTGTGGCGTAGTCAACCATCCGGGGTGTTTGTAGAAGTAGTACTAATATTGATTTAGTGCAGTCAATTACCTCCCGAGGGTTACAATAAGTACAGTTATACACGTAGAAATAATGCAGTACAGTGTATGAAGCTGCAAATACTATAGGTGTTGCTATGACAGTACTCTACTTGTAATGCGAGAGTGGTGAAGTTGTGAAGGTATATTGGTGTGCCAAGAATGCAAGCAATAAACGATTCTGAAAGCAAATTGCAAAGCGAGAGGACCAAGACTTAGGACCAAGACTTGGGAATAGAAGACGGGGAGGAAAGTGAGCAAGACACTACAACTACCTGATCAAATAGACCTAGTTAGCTTACTTGTATTGGTGCGTACCAATGAGCATACCCGAAACTTGGATCGGATCGTTAACGGGAGGGTCGTGAACGTCGTTGACGTTGGGAACGAGTATGATGATGCGAGGCAGGCAGGATATCATTGTAGGTACCACCTGCCGCCGCGAGCTGAGGTGGCGAAATACCAATCATGACGATGGGAGTACTGATTGATAACGCACCCGTATTCAAGAAGAATCATTGTAGACTATGTGCAGAAGATCGACAGGCCGATGTGACTACCTATGAAGACTAAGACAGTACTGTAAATGCGAGAGTGGTGTTGTGAAGGTATGGTATGCCAAGAATGAAAGCAATAAACGAATCTGAAAGCAAGTTGCAAAGCGAGAGGACCAAGACTGGGGGACATGTGAGCAAGAAATCTACGCAATAGTGGAACGAGATGCGATGGCGACGAGCTTCTTTGGGACCAAAATGTGGAAATGTCCATTCGCCGTCGTCTTTCCCTCGAAAACGTTGTGCTCGCCCTCCATCTTGAGACTCGACACGAGGTGGTTGAGCGCATTGACTTCCTACACTCGATTATCAACAAATAACCGTCACGACAATGTAAGGCGACTTGCCTCGTCAGTGGGAATCTTCTTGTCCACTACAAATCGGCGCAGGAGAGCAATATCCGAAGCAGAGAGAGCCGGTTCTGCCACCGAAAGTGTCCGTCGAGCACTTTCTTGACTCGAGCGGGAAGGCACTCCGTTCGGTTCTTCCAAAACGCGCGGCCCTTTCTGAGGGTTAGACTCCGTCAGGGAGGGGACACGTTTTCGCTTCAGAAGGGTCACAGCGGTCGTGCCAGACGAATTCGGTGCAGAATGCTAAGGACACATGATTGATAGATGACATTACAACACATTGAGCTTTGCTTACCATTGTGGAGGCGGTGCCTTTCTTGAGATTTTTCGCTGGCCCATCCAAGGCAGCCTGATCGGCTTGCTGAAGAGCCTCAGGACCGAACCACTCCTCCGCGCGCTGCAGGAAGTGTTCTGTGACCGACGTGTACTGCGGTCTGCGAAGAACGATCGGCGCTGGAGCCTCGTTTGACATCGGAGGGAGCTCATAGGTTTGCAAAGGCGGAGTAGCCCAATCCTTCTGGTACGCATGCGTAGCATATTCCGTATCAAGATATTCATCCAGATCATCCGTAGCCGTCTTGAGTTCAACGGTATGCGCAGCGTGAGACCGCGGTAGTTGAGCGACACGGAGACTGGCTCTTGGCTCGCGCTCTGGAATTGGACGCGAAGTCGACGAGGGTGGTTCTGGTGTATCGGAGTCTGACCCGGACGTGCCTTCCAGGAAAAGACTCGAACGCCCAGGACGAGCTCGATAGGCACTAGAGGAAGGAGACGAGATGGATTCATCTTCATTCGCTGCAAATGCATTGGCAAGAGCGTCGACGATGCTTCCGGTAAAGGCCATCCCATTTTGTGCATGGGTTTGTGCATCTCTTTCATCCAGTCTTCCCGTGTCGTGTACGGCAGCCTGAGAAGGAAGATGGACACTGTAAGGATATGCGAGGGCCAGCATCTCGTCATCGCTTTCCGCCGGTTCAGATGAGGCAGCCGTAACGTCTGTATGACATTCTCTAGCGACCTCGGGGCTAATCAACTCGAGAATTTCCTCTTCGCCGTTGACCTCTTCTGCAGTAGGACGAGCCCCCAGTGCAGATGAGATACAATCAGCAAGTGAGAGAGCATCACCGGCAAACGAAGCAGTAGACCAGTCTCGTGTTTTGTGCGCGGTCGGCCCAGAACTAGCATTGATGACATGTATACCTCCTTCGCGACCCAGATGGATAGAGTTACGAGACGATGCAGAGTGCGGCGTAGATAGTCTAGAAACAACGACGCCCAAGAACTTCGAGGAAGAGGCATTGCCGGAGCTACTTCGGCCCGCGTTCCGCGAGGACATTCCTAATTTGGAAGCCTTCCCGGATTCAGTGGCGCGTGCGTCGTCAATGGTCGCGCTCGACGGCGCGTTATCGTGGTCTAACAACGCAAGTGAGAAGTACTGTCTCGGTGACGTATCCGAGATTGAAAGTGCTTACCTCGCATGCTTGAGCTACCACTTGAGGCCAATGATAGGTGATCCATGATGTCACTGCAGCACAACGGCCCGGACCCGCTGTGCTCTGCAACAGCCCGAGTGGCAACGTCCGGCAGTGAAAGGGAGTTGTCACTATGATGAAACAATTTGTCAGTTCCTGGATGACAAGCATGAAAAGGATACAGAATGAAAAAAGATGCTACTATGTAAAGCGCAGGCGCAGGGCGCTTGCAACTGCATCCTTCCAATATGAAAGAATCATCATGGCCAAAACATGCTGTTACTACTTTAGGTGCTTTATGAGGAAGAAAAGATTAAGGAAAATGAATAGAATATTACTTGGGCAGCATGCTCATTATAGACCAAACAACAAGATTTGCACTGTGTTTTATGAGCCGCTGCTACCTAGCCATGAGTGGAAGGCTCCTCATAGGCTGAAGCACCCTTCATGTAGATATAATAGACACTACACTCAATGCCAATAAAAGTGCTTAAGAAGATGCAAGTACTTACATGCAACCAAAACAAAGTAGTGTGAATACAAGCAGCAGGATGAAACCAAAGAGCCTTAGACTAATGCTTGACACAGATGAAAGCAGAAGTTAGACATGGTGAGAGAAGCGGAAAGTTGTTTGGTGCTATTTACCTTTTTATATGTAATGGAAGTTTCCCACGATTGAAGTAACTTCAATGAAATAAATTACAAAACAATGCATGAGTTACAACTAAAAAGTGAATATATTGCAGGTGGTGCTCCTTAAGTCAGTCATGCGCAAGATGTGAGGTATGCTTGGGGTTGTTGTCTTGCTGAAGCACAAAATGTGGCGGGAAGAGTTTGATCGCTGACACACTAGGGAGCAGTGCTTGCTCATAAATCTTAATCAACTGCTCCTTCTTGAGAGTGCCCTCGACCCAATAAAGCTTTCCAGTACTCTTGCAAGTGATACAGCCCCATACATTGACCTTCCCTTGTCCAGCCCCATGCTTATGTGTTCTTTGAACAAATGAAGGGAAGAAGACCTTCTCTACATCAACAATACCAGTGTCTGTCATCTAACCCATGGATGAGGTATTTTGACTTGTCCATGAAGATAACATTGTAGGAGAGGAACACATCAAGATCCTGCCAGTTGGCAGAAACATGGAAGAATGCATGACGGGCACAGCGATGTTGGGGGTTAAGTTCAGGTTCTCAGCGCTAAACAAAGCCCCCATAGGACTCTCAACTGAGTTGTGCAACAAAGTGTGAAAGGCCAGGATATTGGGAAGGACAACATGCTGCACATCTGCATCATCAACCAATTTGCCTATATTCAAATGGTTGGTATTTTAGAGCAGTCAAGCTCACGGCCCGAGGCCGCCCTGCATTCCCTTGCCTACTCTCGTAACAATTCTCCCCATTTTCCTGCAAGCGCTCTCAGTTCTGCTTGATTGTCTTTGTCGTAATAAAAGTACCCGCAAATTCAGGTTTTTGTTTAATAGCAGCCCAAAAAATGCAGGGATTTTTGTGTTTATAGTTGAGTATAGTGCACTGTTTTGTTGGGGTGCATAGCACATAGTGACAGCGCTCAATATTTAGACATAGTTGTTGTTACATGACAAGAGAGTAATTTACGCAAGTGTGGGAAAAAATTACAAATATGGCAGGTGAACATCAATTTTGAGTGTTACTGTAGATCGAAGATGCATTTTTTTGCTGAGTCTAAGCGCTGCACCAAGCAGACTAGTACCCTTGGGAGCCTCAGAGATCTAACACAACACTGATGCATGTGTAAGCCTACTGTATTTTATGAGTAGTCATTTACAAAATGACCTATAAGAACTCAAACTCATTCAATTAGGATTTAGCAAAGGTGGGGGGGTGAAATTCTACACTCTGAATGAGTTAATTGCAAAATGTTCCTTCCAGCAGACTAAACTATAGAAGCTGCACACCATACTTGTGACTGCATTATTTTGTTGTAGAGCCTTGTGGCGGGATATAATCATGTGCCAAATAGGAAAGTCACATTCCTTAAAAGGAGACAGGATAACTCTGATTTTACTGGATTTTCAGAAATAAATAAATAATGTTGATGCACGGGAATTTGTGGGTGAATGGCTTCCCTTCGTAGTTGCCTCCAGCCAATGTACACCTGAAGTTGAGTAAGAGAAACAAAGCTAATCTCAAATTCAAACATAGTTTAGTCCGAACTCATCCAAAAGTGAAGTAACATTGCATCACGGAATTAATTTGTGGTAGATAAGAAACCACCAGCTCATAGGGAGTCAATCCAAACTGTCCCCGACTCAACAGACATCCTCAACGATACTTAGTAAACGGACGGCTCCAGTACGAGATCCATCAAGGCCCACTGACCATCGGCGGTCTGCTTCATTCCGCCAAATAACATCCTACCCAAGAGTAGATCGACCCTCCTTGGTCCCGCCTGCGCCTCCCTCACAGGATCCTTCGA